TGTGGGTTGGAAACTTTAAGAGAGGTCAGGACTGGAGCAATGGGTTTTGGTGTCATTTATAGAGGTGGTAACTACTTAAGAAGAGTGAATGAGATTGCTCAGGGAGATACTGTAGAGAAGAGGCCCAGGATGTACCATTGGAGAACAATCCCACTAGTGATCAAAGAAGGTTTCATAAAGCAGCTAAGATGGACCTTGACAAATAACCAGGGGACTTCCATTTTAGAACCATTCAAGATACATAGCAATGATATTCTGACCAGAAACACACAGATGATACAAGATTGGACCAATTAACAATCTATAGTGAAATGGTGGTGGTTTCCTGAATGTCGTTGGCTGACTTCTTTCCTTAGCCTTTCGTCAGACTTGTTAAACCTATTACATTTGTTTATTGGGCACAGGAGTGTACCGAGAGAATTCCAGATCGTTCCTACACCCTAGGATTCAGACCAAACCATAAAGAATATTTAAATACAGCAGGCATTTACTAAACACCTATATGCCAGGGACTGTCAGGCACGTGGAGTTTGGTTGGTTCCATTGGTACAGGGAATTCTCAGGTGAGGAAATTCCCTTTCCTAACTCAGATCAGCAACTGTTTCTGCAACTTTACAGCCTTAGGGAGTTATTCAGACAAACATTGAGAGGTTAGATGGTAGCCAGGGTCACATGGCTATGTGTTGTTATAAGCATGGCTTGAACTCAGGCCATCCTGACTACTAGCCACTAGGGATAAAAAGAAGGGACTGATGCGAATCTGGCCTCAGACACTTACTAGCTGTGTGACTGAACAAGTCACTTAATCCTGTTTGCTTCAGTGTCCTCATCTGTAAAATAAGCTGGAAAAGGATATAGCAAACCACTCAAAAAAAAAAAAGTGGGATTACAAAGATTCAGACGCTACTGGAACGACTGAACAGCACAGCTATGCTATGGTAGCAGATCCAGATCCAGAAAAGATCATGGACTCCTAACCTACGTGAAAAAGCTTTGTGAAAGAGAATATTAGGAACTATTATTTAATGAGAAGAAAATGAAGCTGTTATTTATTGAGAAGGAAACTTAGGAGAAGTAGAGGACATTTCAGGTATGTGGGATAGTGCCTGTCAAGAAAGAGAGAAGGTATTAAAGCTTCAAAAATCAGGCCATGAAGGAAACCTGAATCCAACCCACAAATCAATTGCATAGTAGATCAGAACAAAGAAGCAGTATTACTGCCGTGGTAAGAGCACTGGGTTTAGACAGCACCTAGCTTCTAAGTGTTGGTTTTGCCACTTACTACGTGACCTTTGGTGAGTCACAACTTCTACAGACCTCGGTTTCCTCATCTATAAAATGACGAGGTTGAATCAGATGGCCTCTAAGATCCATTCCAATTCTAAATCTATCCATCCTATGATCCTTCAAGACAAGAAGCAAAGATGAGAAATGAATGTTCCTGATCTTCATAGAGCTTACTGTCTAAAATGGAGATTAAACATTTACAAGTTAGAAAATGATAGTGCATAGGGGAAAGTCAAAGATGTGATCCGGGAGGAAGACTGAAGGAAGGGGAGTGGTCTTTCAGAAGAGGCCAGCAAGGAAGGGGTCATGGAAGATGTCCTAATATGTCACCTTAGGAGAATCACCACCACAACATGGTGGTATGGAGAGACCATTGAATTTGGAGTCAGAGACAGAAATTCCACTGGCTACTCCCTACATATGTGACAACAGACATTTCACACTGTGGTACCTTGGAAAAAGTGATGTATTTTAGGTCCGAGAAGCAAGTCAAGATTCTCAGTACTGCCACTTAATGCTTGTGTGACCTTGTGTGGAGCAATGCACTGTGTGAAATCAAAGTTAGGGCAATAATTAGCAATGGGTATTAATAAGACTTTTTATAGAGTGTGGTCTTGGAGTCGGATGTTAAAGGATGAATAGGTAATCAATGGTGCCAGTGTACAGGCAAAGCCAAAAACGTGATCTGAGAGATTCAGTGAGGGGTAGGGGCCTTCCAAGAGAGGTCAGAAAGGAAGGGCCCATGGAGGATACCTAATATGTCACCTCAGTGGTTACAGAGAGCACTGTAACCTCCTTGGTTCTCAGTTTCTAGCTATAAAATGAGAGGGTTAAACTAAATAGTCTGGGGCAGCTAGGTGGAGCAGTGGATAGAGCACCGGCCCTGGATTCAGGAGGACCTGAGTTCAAATCCGGCCTCAGACCAAACACTTGACATGTACTAGCTGTGTGACCTTGGGCAAGTCACTTAACCCCATTGCCTAGCAAAAAAAAAAAAAACAACTAAATGGTCTGTAAGGAAGGTCTCTTCCGGCTCTAAGCCTATGTTTTATCTTTTCTCCAGAGCTCCTGAACCAGATTTTCAGCTACCTATATGGAATGTTTACCCAGATGTCCCATCAGGATCCCAAACTCAGTCTGTCCACAAGTGGAGTTATTCTGGTCCCTACTAAAACTGTATATTACCTACTGCATAACCTATAGTGCGGCCAAAATGGACTATCCCCAGACCTTCGACTTACTGCCTGTACCTCTTTTAATGCTGTTCCCTATTTCTAAGATGTCTTCATTTTGTCTGTTAATTCCCTACTCATTCTTTAACACCCTACTGGAAGACCACTCTACAAAAAGCCTTGTCAATATTCCACTGCTAATTTTTCCCCACCTTGGATTTCACACAGTGCTTTGCCCACACTTTCCTCTTACCCTGGTGTCATCATCTGTAACATGAAAGGGCTAAACTGGAATAGCTCCAAGGTCACTTCCAGCCCCAGATGGGGAGGGACAGGCAAAAGGGAAGGAGAATGTTTTATTCCAGGATGAGTATGTAAAGAACAGGCCAGAGGACAGAAAGATAAGATGGGCAAAGAGTAAACAGTCCATTTTTTTCTGGAGTTTAGAGAACTTGTGTAAAGGGGAGAACTGTAACATAAAGCAGGAGAGTAAAGATTGGCATCAAATTGTGAAGGGCCGTGAATGCCAGATTAGGAGTTTCTATGTTACTCTGTGTAGCAGCAGTTGGTATTATGGAGAAGATGTTTGAGCGGGTAGTGACCTGGTCAGATCTATGTCTTAGGAAAATGACTTAGGCATCTGTGTCACAGATAGTGTGGGAGTGGGAGAGAATGGAGGCAGGGAAATTAGTTAGGAGGCTGCAAGATCTGGAAAGTCAAAACCTGAATTATGCTCTATGGTATAACAGAAAGAATTTACTGTGCCACTAACCCCACCTACAAAAAGGCTGTTACTGATCCTCTCTCCTTGAGGAAATGTGATGGGTTGCACAGTTCAAGGTCTTTTCCTTTCAACACACACACACACACACACACACACACACACACACACACACACACGAGGCATTGGTGAACCATAAAATCCAATTAAGACTTTTAATAATTGAAGAGTAAAAGCATATAATGTGTGAATAAGAAAGGATACAGAGGATAACTCCTCTTGCGAAGTCACTAAATCAGGAAATGAAGAAAACCACCAACGGGCAGTCCGACCTCTAGAAAAGCATTAATGACAACCTTCGCTTCTTTCCCCTCCCAGTGTGTAAAACGCTGCGAAGGTGGGGCAGGGAAGAGGACCAGCTGTGGCCACAACAGGAACCTATCCAAGCTCTTATTACGTACTTCCAAAATATCTTTTAAATCTATTTTTATGTGTACCTTTTGTCTCCCCCACAGAACATAAGGCCCTTGAGGTCAGGCAGTTTCCTTTTTTTTTCCTTTTAAATACGTGAAGCCCACGAATCTACTTAAAGTACCAGAAATAGAGTCAACTTACTGGCTGACGGCTTGATTGTATGACCTTGGGCAAGTCACTGAATCTCTCTGGGCCTGGCTTTTGCCATCTATAAAATAAGAGGGCTGGGATCCATGGCCTTACAGGTTCCTTTTAGCGCTAGTCTATGATTCTTAACCTGTCCCTGAATTAAAAAAAAATATTTTGATAACTGACTTTCAACATTTAATTCAACCAACATTTATCAAGCACCTATTATGTATCAGGCACTGTGCCAAACCCTGGAGACACAAAAAGAAGCAAAAGACAGTGTCTGCCCTCAAGGAGCTTCCAATCTAATGGCAGAGACAGCATGAAAACAAATAAATACAAAGCAACCTATATAATTCAATTCAGTGAACATTTATTAATCACTTATCATGTGCCAGGAACTCTGCTAAGCACTGGGGTTACAGAAAGTGTTAAAAGACAGTCCCTGCCCTCAGGAAACTTGCAATCAAACTAAAGGAGACAGCATGCAAACATATGCACACACACACACATACACATATACATATGCACATACATACACATATATATAGATGTGAGTATATATGCTCATGTGTACATATACACGTGTGTATACATATTATATATACAAATATATTTATATAAATACATATATACATACATATATGTGTGTGTGTGTGTGTGTGTGTGTGTGTGGATATATATATATAGATATATAGATATAGATATATCTCAAGCTCTATACAGGATAAACAGGAAATAAGAGGGAAAGCACTCCTAGTCATCTCATGAATATTTTATGGGCTAAAAACATGACTGTGAACAAGGGTTCAAGGCTTCCCCAGAAGGTACATGATGCACAACAAAGTGAAGGTCGGGGTGCTTCCAATTCCACATCTAATGTGCTCTACAGCCCTTTGCGGAGAATGGAACATCCCAGCAAATCGTTCAGTCGTTCCTCCCAAAACAAGTAAGAGCCAGACAGGCGCATGCGCAGCATTGTGCTCGGAGGTGGGGTAGTAAGGAGAAAGGACGAAGCAGGCGCATGCGCAGAACTCCGGGGCGGGGTGAGTCGCGAAAGGGGCGTTTCTGGAGCATGCGCAGGACTCCTTCAGCGGAAGAGGGGGCAGGTCCGAGCCGGGCCAAGGAAGCCGCTTCCGGTGTCATTACCCCTTCCTCCGGAAGCAGTGTGTCACGGGGCCAGGGCTCCGGCCAGGCTTCCTGGGAGAGCGGGAGGGGTCGGCAATCATGTGACAGCGGGTTCAAGAGGAAGCGGCTGCGGCAGTCGGAGCTACTTGCGCCCGAGGACAGCGGCCGCCTGGGCAGCCTGAGCCAGGTAGGTCTCGGGGTCTGGCGGCAGGAAGCGGCGGCCCGAGGCGGGGCCCTCGGATGGGGGCGGGGAGGCGACCCGGCCCCGCCCCGTGCCCCGGCTTCACCGGCTGTTTCTCTTGCAGGTGTGGGGAGCGTCCCCGCGGGAGGAAGGGGCTCATCATGGCGGATGTGAGTGAGACCACCCCCAGCTGGGGGGAGGGGCGAAGGGAGATGGGGATGGGGAGGTGCGAGGGGGGCGGGGTGATGGATCCCGGAGCCGCTCCCCAGCCAGGGCCCCAGGGACCCTGGGATGTTCCAAGGTCACGGCTGGTTCGCAGCGGAGGCGGCGTTCGTCCCCCCCCCTCCGGGGGCCTCGGCCTCGTCCCCCGACGCCGGCGCCTCCTTCGGAAACGTCTGAGGCCACCGCCCCCTCCCCAGTTCAGCGACTCCCCTGTGCAGCCTCCTAACCTGGCCCTTTGCAGTCTCCTTACACTCCCCCACTCTCCGGTCCGTCCGGCTCCGGCCCGGAATGCTCTCCCTCCTTATCCGCATCCTACCTTGCAATCCCACCCTCTACAGGAAGGCTTCCCAGTGGCCTTAACGCCCTCCCCCGGGATCAGTTTGCCCTGTCTGTGTCTTGGTTGTGTGGAGCTCTTTGCACTTCGTCCACCTCGTTAGATTGTAAGCTCCTTGAATGCATGGGTCCCCCCTCCCCCCAAGACTTAGCCGAGTGCCTGGCACGTAGTAGGTGATTAATAAATGCGTGTTAATGTACTTTTGCAGCCCTACCGTTTGGCACAATGCTTTGTGCATAGTGAGTGCTTAAAAAATGTTTGTTGGTTGATGAACCCCAGAAACTGCCTCTAAACCTAATGTTCTTTGCATTACAGCACCATTTTTCCATCCTTTGTGATCCTATAGTGTCTTGGCCCAAAGGCAGTCAATGTATGTTGATTATTAAAACCGCTGTTAGGAAACAGGCCTACAAAAAGCTACAACTCCCTTAAAACATCCATCCACACTTATTTAGCACCTAGTTATTTGTCAGAAAGGCATCAGAGATGGAAAAACCAAAAGCAAACAGTCCCTGGTAGCACAGTTTATTCTGTTGGAATTAGAACTTGAGTTTTTGACAAATGACTCATTAGAGCAACACCTTTGAGCTAGTCAGATTCAAATTAGTCTTTGGAAAGGTGTGCTGGACTTAGAGTTGAGAATACCTTAGGCCTAGGTGGCTAGAATGCTGGGTGTGGAGTCAGGAAGACTCATCTTCCTGAGTTAAAATCTGGCCTCAGATACTTATTGGCTATGTGGCAATAGGGGAGTCACTTAACCCTGTTTGCCTCAGTTCCTCCTCTGTAAAATCAGCTAGAGAAGGAAATGGCAAACCACTCCGGTATCTCTGCCAAGTAAATCCCAAGTGGGGTCACATAAAGTCAGACACAATTGAAACAACTGAACATCAGCACACCTTAGGCATGACTTGGACTAGCTCTGTGACTCAGCAAGTTTATCAGCTTCTTTGTATTTCAGTTTCATCAGCAACAACAAAAAAATGGCAATAATAATAACTTCTAACACATAGGTTGGTTGTAAGGAGCGCTTTCTTGATATTTGACCAGAAAAGTCCATTCTGCCCAAAATTTATGATCCTGTGAATGGTCTGTATAAATGTAAGTAAGCTATATGAGTTGGAGTGATTAGTCCTTTACTCTAAGGGGACAGGATTGTAAACTTGAAGGTAGAGGACCTTGCATCTCCCACAGTACCCGGCTTTTGTGATGTGTTTAATGATGAGGTATAGTAGAGTCTCACCTAAGATGTGCTTTAGCACAAAGCTCCTATGAACTGGGCTCAGGAATTGTTCAGGCCTGTGGGAGGGATAAGAATGGGGTTTGAAACCGAAACTAGCTTGGGAAATTTTTTAGGGACTCTGGTGAGGGAAGCTTATGAGATGCTTATTCACTCAGATTTGAGGAACTTCCAAAGTGTTTGGAGCTTTATTTCTGCCTTCTGACATCTTGTGACAGCATGGCTTTATATCTCCTTTTCTAGGATTTGAAGAGATTCCTCTACAAAAAGTTACCAAGGTAAAGGATCAATAGTGTCATAAATCATAAACTCTCATTTTGTTACCACCCTAAAATAAAAATACCACCTTTGTTTCACTTTTAGACTCACTCTAAGGTAAAACTTTTATACTGTGCTTAGAGAAGAAATTAAGCTGACACACAGAACAGATAGGAAAAGTATGATTCAACTCACAGATGTGTGTGTTTTTCACTTGCATCATGGCCTGTGCTTCGTATTTATGCCAGCTTATTTCTCTTGTGGTGTTACATGTAGTATTTATCAGCTGAGCCTTTCTGCTTTTGCTAGTGCAATTCATTTGAGGTGTTCCACTAATGATTTGAATTTTGAACTTTTGAGGATTATACTTTCTATTCAAATGCAGTTTACCTGTGCATACATTTTTAAAAATACGAAATTCCCTATGTGACATAGGGAATTCTCTGTACCTTCCAGCCTTGGAGAGTTACCTGAGAGATGAAGTGAGTTGCCCAGGGTCTCACAGCTAGTACATGTGACAGGTGGGACTTGACACTGGGTCTTCTGAGCTCTGAAACCAGCTCGGTGCACAAAGCTACCATTCCTTTATTTAAAATAACTTCAGAAAGTTCCTGAGGGTTAGGACTGTTCTATCTGGTAACTCTCTGTCTAGCTGTCCCTCAGTTCCACTGTTTCCTGAGAGATAGGGAGAAAATGCCACGAGACATTACTTAACCCATTATGTGAATATGAATATATATATATATACACACACACACACACACACACACACATGTATGTATGTATGTATATATGCACACATATATATATGGCAGAATGTATAATTGAGTTCTGACTTCATTCTTATACCACACGTTATGGAAAAATTCTCTAACTTGAAAAGGTTTAAATGAGCAAAAGGGTCTCTGTATCCTTGATAGCATAAGAACCTCTTTAGGATGTTGGTGTGTCCTTGATGCACTAGTTTCATTCCTCTGCATTTTCAAGGAAAAAAATTAGGTCTGAAGCATAAAAAGAGATGGTTCATAGAAATAAATCAGTTTTAAATCTGGAAAGGAACCTTGCCTTTTAGGATTATTTTTGTGTTGCCCTTATTTGAACTAATCTCTTAAAATATTCCACTTCCTGAGAATGCAAAATCCATCGGTGCTCTTTCATCCTCTGTGTCTCTTGTCCATAACCTTCCACAAATCCTCTGGAATTCCGAACGTTCTGGAGCAGAGGTATCAAACAGGTAGACTCCTGACCCAGCCTTCCCGACTAAGTGCAGCCCCAACCAGATCAAAAAGATCCCCGATGGATTTTGATTTTCATCCCTAGGGTTAGTACCTGTACGATTACTGATACTGCATTTAATCAAAATCCAGCCCAAGTTGTGGTTTTTTTTAAATTTTACTTACTTTGTTATTTTGAGTACTGAATTGTCTCCCTCCCTTCCCACTCTAAACTAGAGAAGGCCACCGTTTGAAAAAATTTATAATTAAACATAAGTTGGGGATCAGTTGTTTAAGAGAATTTTTTTGGGGGGGGGGTGAGGCAGTTGGGGTTAAGTAACTTGCTCAGAGTCACACAGCTAGGAAGTGTCAAGTGTCTGAGGCCAGATTTGAACTCAGGTCCTCTTGACTCTAGGGCCGGTGCAAGTCACTTAATACAACTTGGGCTTAAGAGCTCAGTTTGACCTTTTAAAAAACACTTAGAAAATGGAGAACAAGGGCTTCTTAGAGCACTTTATCCACCTGAAGCCCATCCAACTGGAATGTATCATTTCATGAAGTCATAACTTCTCACCTCATTTTAAAACTCTTGTACTCCTATCTGTAGTACAAATAATTTCAGGTTTTAGGGAAATCTGTTTCATTTCTCTGTGACAGTCCCCAGTAGGGTTCATTTATCTCGAATGTCAACATAAGGCCTATTATATTTGTCAACTGATTTCCTTCAGACTCTACTTAAAATATTCTAAGAAGCTTTTGTCCTCATTCTCTAGGGCTTTCTTCTGTTTGATATCCATGAAGAAGAAAAAGCTTTTCTTCTTACTTCCTCTCTGGAACATTGGTTGACCCTTTAATTTGAATATCAGAGAAGTTAAAAGGAAAAGAAACTCATTACTGAATCCGTTTTTTTCTGTAATTTTTAAATGCTTTGATTTACCTCAAATTTCAGACAAAATGTATGTATTTTTAAGTGATTGATGATTTTATGATTAAAGTGGGAAGTACCATTATGACTGTGTATATAAACAGTCATTATATGTTTTATAAGAGAAATGGAAGAGATTTCTAACATGATTGATGGTAATTTTTCCAGAAAGGTGAGGCTCTCTTTTAAATGACTTTAGCAAGGGCAGTTTCAAAGACATAATTTGTTTTTCTTTTTCCCCTCATTTTCAACAGATAAAATAGTTGAAATCCAGGGTTACTAATGCCTAATTTAATAAGTATGTATGAATGGGAGTGGAAATTCTGATTCCTAATGTAGTGAATTCTAACAGGTTCTGGTTTTATACTGATTTTATATAATTAGGATTTGTAGAGGTTATATGTAAATTTTGAATGTTAGCAAGCTTTTTCATTATAACATTTAATGCCACATAAGTTTTCAAAGGTTGTTTCTTCCCTGATAGTTTTTCAGAGATTCTCTCTGTCCACAGTATAACACATCCTTAAATGGTTGATCTGTATTGTTTATTATTCCTTATGTTCCTACATGACATGATTTGATAACCCCAAGCATATACATGCAAAATTTCCTGTTTGACCAGCATCTTTCCTCCACAGATAGGAGAATGGCCTTTTACTTGTGGCCGTTTTCAGTATTTTAAAACTATGGCAATTTTATGGGCTATGTGATGGAGGTTTTTTGGTTTTTCTTTGGATCATACTTTTGAGTTTGTTGATTAAGGGAACTTACACTCTAAAAACTCCTGGCTTGGCCAATGCAGGAAGGAAATGAAGGAGGTTCCCCATCTTCCCTCCTTCGTGTTCCACAGTCTGACCTCCTAGTGCACCCTCAGGACCCTGGGCCTGCTTTCTGCTGCATCATTATTAATTATTTCCAGATATTACCATCCTTCATACAGTTGAGCTCATGTTATCTCCTTAGTTACAAAATGAGCTCCTGGAGAGCAGATTGTCTCTTTTTCTGTTTATATCTCCAGCCCATATCAAAGTACTTGGCACATGGTGAGCACTTAGCACTTAATAAATGTTTTTTCATTCATTTAGTAAATCAAGTTGGCCCTTATTTCTAATTTAGAGTTGTAGTGAGTTGCTTGGGGCACCAAGAGGTAAATTGACTTGCCCATGGTCACGTGGTTAGGATGAGGCAGGATCTGACTCCAGAGCTTTCATTCCAGCCCTTCATGCTGCCTCTCACGTCACATAGTTTTACTTTACTTTAAAAATTGGTCAGTAGACCAGCAATTAGGGAACACTGGAGGAGTGAGAGTCGATTATCTCTAAGGCATCTCGCGCATCTAGGTGACATCCTGGTTATGTCTTTCTTTGGTGGATTGGAGGCGTGGAGATATTAAGTTCCTAGAGAAGGAGGTGGTACCATAACAGGTCAAGGAGGAGGAGGAGGCTGGAAGATGTAATATGTGTCTGTAAAATGGCTTTTTTGTTTTGTTTTGGTCGATAGTTAGCTTTGTTGACCCAAGAGGAAGAGTTGTATAGTAGAATGAGGGGATAAGGAAAACCATGAGCCACGGATCATGTTAAGCATGGGGGTCACAAAAAGAATGATAGATGGTGTAATGCCAGGCTCCATCACTTGGTGCCCGTGTTGTCCATCTCTGCCTTTACATTGTTTTGTTAATATAGTTCACAGTTATCTCCTTGAGCATTTCATGCCAACATGGTGTGTGGCTATTTATTCCCTCCACGTGGCCTGCCTCCTGTAACTGTAACTCAGAGCAATCATAACACTTTATGGTGTTCACTGAAATTCAGTGTGCAATGGTTTTAGGACTTCACTTATCACCCTATTTCCTCATTTAAAATTAAATATTAGCTCATAGCCAACACTTGGATTTGGCTGATTTTTAGAGTTTAGTTGTTATTTGCCATAATTGTTAGGTTAAGGTGCCCAGAGTTTTGTTAGGCATTGTGAGAATAGACTATACTGGTGTTGTATTGCTGTAAGCCATGTAATGCTACCATATCTGGAGTGTTAAAAAATGAGTATCAAGCGGTCAGGCCCTGGACAGCTGTAAGGTGGGTGTGAGAAGGTGGGCAACGCATAGTACGGAAGTATGAGAAAAAGTGAGAGTAAAGAATGTCATCAGAGAAATTCATGCTCAGAAGTGAAGATAAACTGGTCAGTTGTGAGAGCAAGAGCTGTTGAGGAGACAGACAGCCTATGGGCTCCACTGGTAACTTGATTATAACAGAAGGAAGTGGAGAAAGCCACCCCCAGCTGGTGTGAACCTGTGGGAGGCCCAGGACAGGAGTCCTATAGGCAAGTCTGGGCCGGCATCTACATGGTTGAAAGCAGTGTCTGAATATATGAGTTCAGAAGTCTGACCGCTAAGGACATTGGGGAGAGAGAGAGAGAGAGAGAGAGAGTGTGTGTGTGTGTGTGTGTGTGTGTGTGTACGCATATATTCCTAACTTCAAGCTCATATTTTGAGAACATTTAGTGTAATGTGTTATAACTAAGCTTATTTTATCTTTCTAGTGTTGAAGGTCTTCATGCCATTGTAGTCTCAGACAGGGATGGAGTGCCTGTTATCAAAGGTAACATTCAAGTAGAAATTTTGTTTTCTGCCTTGACTAAAAAATTAACAGGGTTTGCCCAGTGTGGGTGATGAAGGGAAAATCAAGAAGCTATTTCAGTAAGTGGAAAGCACTGGTTCTCGGGCTTTGGGGAAACATTTGTGTTTTCTTGTTTTGTTTTTTTATATTGTTGAGGCAATGTTTTTAGATTTTATTAAAACTGGCGGTTGGGGCCTGTAGGTATTTCATGTAGCCAGTATTTGAATACAGGTTTTTCAGAGGTCAGGTTCCACACTAAAGGCAGTTATTGCATGTGATTTGCTGTTAGTCAGTCTAAATTGTAAGAGCCAGATATACAGTTCAATACTTAAAATGATTAAAAAGTCGAAGAAAAGACAGCCTTCAAAGGCAAAGTCCCTTTGTTTAACAGTTCCTTTCATGTAGTAGGCATTTAAGAAATATATGTTGAATTGAAACCTGGTGGATTTATACTCCCATTTCATGCCCTGAAGAAAAAATTAACTTTTAAAATTTATTTCTTCCCTTTTCTGCCTCCTTCCTACAAATTATATTATATACTTAGATTTTTTAATACAGTGAAACTTGAGTTAACCAGAACCCAAGCAACAAGAATTCTTAACCAAAATGTTATTTTTGCATTCCACTTTCAGGAGAAAAGGCAAATCATGAGAAAACAAGCTTATAGCAGAGATTTATATAAAACGAAACTTCTAGGGTCAGTATTTATTCAGCCCAATTACCTAGTTACTTATGCTGTTTACATCTTATAATGTTGTATGATGAAAATTGATGTTAAGAATGATGATCCAGAGACACTGCACAATCCTCAGTCATCAGAGACAACTGAATTTGTCGTCATTATGTTACTCCATATGAAAATGTTCTTTTGCACAAGTGGAAATAACCCCTTTTTACTTTACTCTTAACGACAACATATTCCTTGAGCATTTTAATTTATTTAAATCTTGCTATGTGTACTTAGAATATGCCAATACTCATTATGAATGTTTTACTGTTATGAAGACATTCAAGGGAAAATTCAGCAGTTCCCTCCTCAGTTATTTACGGGCTTTGAGCATGTGGTTAAGTAGGCCTCTCTCTCCCCTTTACCTGATAAAACCACTGCACTTCTTTTGAATATGTGCAGCATTCTTTTTGCACTTAAGACAGAACATGAGAGGGAACGTTCATGGGTTTGTTCGGTACAAGGTGGTGTTTGTGTTGTGCCATTTGCTAGTAGCCTGATTTCTCCTGTAGTCTCTTTACAGCCTTTATTAAAAGCATGCTGTCTTTTTCCAGTGGCAAATGATAATGCTCCAGAGCATGCTTTGAGACCTGGTTTCCTGTCTACGTTTGCACTTGCAACCGACCAGGGCAGCAAACTTGGACTTTCCAAAAACAAAAGTATCATTTGCTACTACAGCACATACCAAGTAAGTGGACTAACTATTGAAGTTGATTTGATTACAACTGTCTTTACATATCCTTTTTTCCAAATTAAGTGGGCTCAGTTTATTAGGGATTCTTTATCTACATAGCCTTTAACTCAGTTACACTTAAGTCATTTTACAGTGAAAACTGAGAGGTAAGGAAAACCACTTAAAAGATTTGATCGTCTACCTGGTAAGAAATGTAAGGTCAATTAAGGTCACTCACTTCCAGCAGATGGTGCCCTTAGCTAATCAACCGTGAGTCACTGAAATAATCTTTTCATTTGTGTCTTTGTTTATAGCTAAAAACTTTGTCTTGAAAACTTATTGGTAACTATTTTGTAAATTTGAATTGGCAGTTACTGCATTATTTTAATTTTGTTAATAAAATAAAAATCTAGGGACTGTAAAATGGCTTTTTTGTTTTGTTTTGGTCGATAGTTAGCTTTGTTGACCCAAGAGGAAGAGTTGTGTAGCAGAATGAGGGGAATAGGAAAACCATGAGCCACGGATCCTGTTAAGCATAGGGCAACAAAAAGAGTGATAGATGGTGCAGTGCCATTGACTCTTCTCTCTGAACAGTCAATAACACGCTATTGCTTTTCAGTTATGGAAGGAATTTAATATCAGTCATTAACTTTTTGGTTTTTAAGTCTGACCTGAATATATATTTATAAGAAATAAAGCTCATCATCATCAGTTTTTTCTAACCCTATCTCATAGTACATTGAAATGGGAGTTATTTACATAAAAGTGGGTAAATACTCAAAATACACACAGGTATGTGATTATAAAGAGTGACCCATTCCAGACTGTTTAACTTTTGTCTTGTTATTAGGGAAGCAAATTAACATCAATTACAGTCATTCATTGCTCATTTTAAAATTAAAGAGTAAGTAGAACATGTATCATGACATTTCATTTTCATTTTGGAACATAAGATGTTATACTCATTTCTGTAATGCAGTGTATAATTTAACCCTCCCCCCTTTTTTTAAAGGTAGTCCAATTCAATCGGTTACCATTGGTGGTGAGTTTCATAGCAAGCAGCAGTGCAAATACTGGTATGTTTTCATTATTTTAAATATAGTTTTGAATTATTGAGATATTGTACTTGGTGTTCCATTTCTACCCAGCATTTCAAATAGTCTTCTGTATTGAGTGCGCTACATCCTTGTCTTTATGTTTTGTTTGCCTCTCATTAAACAAAAAAATTTTGTACAGGGCACATTGATACTCTCCTAGGAAGAGAAGGGAGGCTTTTTTTTTTTTTTTTTTTGGTTGGTTGGTTTTTTTTCCAGTTTTACATGTGATTCCTTTGGAAGCAGAGGTACATTCCAAAACACTTAGTAGCCTCAAAACATGTTAGATCTTCCAACCTGGTATTTTATCCACTTATTTTTGTTAATCAATATTTATTAAGTATATTCTAAAAATGGGCTTTTACAATTTCTTTACAATTACAGCTTGTTATGGGCCTGCTGTTGTCCACGGTCCAGCCTAGCTAAGTTCGGAGAAGCTTATTTATTACCAGGATGGCCACAGGGTAATGAATTTTTCAGCCACAGCAATTCTTGAAAACATATGCCTATTAAAGAGGAGTTGTGGTTATAGTAATTATAGAAATCATAATAGTCAACATTTATATAGTGCCTTAAAGTTTGCATAGTACTTTACTTAACTCATTTGAGATTCCCACAACAACTCGGTGAATCCACATTTCACAGATGAGGAAACTGAGGCTGAGACAGGCTGTATGACTTGCCTGGGGTCACACAGCTGGTAGATATTTAGGGCAGTATTGGAACTTGAACATTTTAACTCAAGTACAGTGCTGTATCTACTATACCCCCAGGTGCCTGGAATCATCATCATCATTTGTGTCATGTGTCAGAGATAGTATCTTATTGTTTCCTCACAACAGTCCTGTGAGAGATAGGCACTATTTTACAGACTAGGAAACTGAGGGTGACAGGTTAAGTGACTTGCCTAGGGTCACACAGCTATAAGGTGTGAGGCAGGTCTTACACTTGGCTCTGATTATGCTGTCCCCTAGCCACCTTGATGAAAGTTACAGGTCTTTGAAGTATTCCTATTACTGATCCAAGTTGATTGAAGCTGGTGGTAGGTGGTCTTGACCAGTCTGTGACATCTCTCTTCCTTGACTTATCTCCCCAAGAGTTCCATGTGATGTGATAAATGATAAAAGGATCCAGAGGAGAGTTTGAAGGATATTAGGGAGATAGAGCCAGCATAGGGAAGTCAGTAGAGGTTAGAGATATATTATTGTAAGAAAAGCAGCTGGCAGCCTTCAGACTCTGAACCCACCTGAAACAGTGATGGTGGTGGTGTTTTTAATCCTAGGCTTAGTTTTTCATAGGAAAATTTAGGATCCTCATATATCCATGTATTATGTTGTATGAAGCAAAATATAGGAGTACTCTTAGCCAGTGTACTTGGGAAACATAATATGACCTCATTAATTTAGAATAATGACTAAAGTGTGCCAACAATTTTTTTCAGATAATTAAAAAATTAAACATTTATCTTCAAACATAATATATATGAATAAAATAAAAGCAGATGTTGATAAAAAGGTCACCTAATAAAAAAGTTAGCATTGAGGCTTCGCTCCTTCCAAAGATCCTCCCTTTTACTGGTGTCAGGTGTTCCCTGGACTGCATCATAGGTAATTATCATGAATCGCTGTCATCTCTCTTCCTCCTTTCTTACCTCAGCAAAAATTGACCAGCCTTTCCAGGGTGAGCAACTCTGAATTTCACTAAACACGGTTTATCACCAGGTCTCTCCTTGCCTACTTTACAGTTTCATAATAGCAACTTACAAGAGCTTCGCGTGAGTTTGGGAAACCTGGGGTCATCCAGGTACAGTGGCTACAATGATGCCTTTACAGGAGATTACACCTGCAAGATGAAAATATCCTTACATTTGGTGTTTTTTCTGAAAAATGCTATGGATTTTTTTTTAATCTTTGAACTGTAACAACATGAAATGGAAATGGATTTCAGCATGGGTAGGATTACAGCATTTCATGTTATTCTTAATTTCACAGCAGTGAAAAGTATAAACGTTAAAATTCATGTTTTGGAAGATATTCCAAGCAATTCAAGTTTTTTGAGGTTTTTTGTTTTTTCGCCTAAGCTGCATTGCAACTTTCTGAAAATTATGTTCCTTTTCTTTGATGTAGGACTGATTGTCAGCCTAGAAAAGGAGCTTGCCCCATTGTTTGAAGAGTTGAGACAGGTCGTGGAAGGTTCTTAACCTGACTGTGGCCTGACCCTGGCCATGTTGTTGATCCCAGTGAGTCCAGTCCCGCAACCTTGACTTCATCAAGTAACGTGACTCCACACTCTTAGAAAAGACAACTTGCTCCAACTTAGCCTGAAGAAGAAGATTGTATTTATTATTTCTAAATCGATGGACTGTTGTGTTGGGTTTTAGGCTCAATTCTTCTGTAGGGTGATTTCGGGGGAGGCCACTAAAAATGGTTCAGTATCTATCACAGCTCCTATGGAGTTTAGCTCAGCCACCAATGAAGGATGAGATTCTCCTCCAGTGGATCAGAATCAAACTGAGCCAGCTAAGGCTCCCCTGTTGTGTACAGTACATATAGGCCTGCAGTATACAGCATACAGGCCCTGCTCTGTATATGCTATTGCTTTATTGTGAATAATAGAGAACTTATTTTTGTGTGTGCCATGTTGTGTGTCTACACTGAGTGAGAGGAAGCCAGCGTCTAACAGCAGTAATAAACCAGTACAATCACTAACTACTCCTGTTTATATCATTGTGAGGTAGAGATTTAAGAAAGCGTCACTAATTGGTATTTCTCTTGTTGCTTTAGATCTAGTTTTAAATTCAGCTATCAATAACCAATCAGTATTTTGATGTCTTTCTCTTTGTACAATTTAAATGTGAAAATCAGTATCAAAACTTTGGTTTGTGACATTTATATGAATACCATAATACAACAGTTCTTTTTCCTTTTCCTAAATAAGGGTCTAAATAAAATAGTATTTTGTAAAAGTATAGCTTGACTACTTAGTCATATAGTATTGGGGGGAAGGGGCAGGAGGTGACAGAGGCCCACGTCTAAGGATAAGAAGACCGTAAGGAGTTTTTCTTCCTGGGACAGGGGCTGAGCCATGAATCTGACTGGTCTAGGCAAGAAGTGATAAGGACCTGAACTAAGATGGGGGTACCTGATAGCTGAATCCATGAGATCTCAGGAGATGGCCCTGGGGTGTACCCAGGCATAGAAGGTCAGACCAGGATAAGGAGACTGAGAGGGATGGTTCAGATATAGGAAGAGAGGTCATAGAGAGCAGTGTCAAAAAACTGAGGTCGGCCAAGTATCCAAAAGACACTTAGACTGTCTCAAAGGTGGAGAGGGGCGGTAACTCATTCTACCTTAAGAGGCGGAGATGAGGGTTTGGTAGACAGCACCTGACCCTTATTACTGACTAGTAGCTGGCACATCTCTCGTGATGCTACAATGCAAAGGAGTGAGTGCAGAGGAAAGGACCAGACAGCGCACTGCTAAGTCAGGGAAGGCTTCATGTAACCTGAGTTGGAGAAAGGGAAGGATATCAAAATAGAGACTAGGAATGGACGAGAGCATGAGAGGCATGGATACAGGAAGAGGAAGAACAGAAATGGGGGACAGAGAGGAGTGCTCCTCGGTCCTAACTGTAAGGAGCTGGGATCAGTTTATGCTGCAATGAGAGGTTGGAGCTAGTCTTTATAAACTACTTAGAGTTACCAGTGTTGATTTAGGGACATGGTTTATACCACCTGAATTGCTATAATTACATTGTGTGCCATGGTGGAGTTTTGTCTTTTGGATACTTGTAGAAAAGTATATACAATGTTTAATCTTTGCTGTCTTTGATTCTACCTAATGGGAAAATACTTCTTTTCGTATTTTTAAATAGGATGCATGTAATTATATATGTGTGTATATACATATATACATAATTTATAGATACTTATAGTCAATGTAGTTTAAGCTTTAGTAAGCTTAAATTGCTCTTAAGATTTTTGAGATGTCCTGTAAATAGACATACATACCTATTTACGAACAACTAACAAGCACAACATTTAATGAATGCCAATTATTGTGGAGGAACTGTGTGGTGTAGTAGATCTACCAGAGATAAAATCAGGTAGACTTAAATTCGTGATCTTGGGCAAATCACTTAACTTCTCTAAGACTCAGTTTCCAGGAAAATGGAAGTAATAATAGCAATAGTATTTCCCAGGTTGTTGTGACAATCAAATCAGATAATGTATGTAAAGTGCTTTGCAAACTTTGAAGCGCTAAATTAAACCGGTTATTATTATTATATGGCAGTTTGAGTGTTTGTGCATATCAATATCAGGGAATTGCTGTCTATGTAAGTGTCTTAATTAAAATGTGGTATAAGAAATGCCATGAAAAGCCAAAAAAAATTATTTTCATTTATATTCTCATCCTGGTGAGTTCCCCCACCTGTAAAATGGGGAGAATAGCATTTGGGCTGCCTACCTCACGAAGTTACTGTTAGAAAAGTGATTTGTAACCTTAAAAAACCAGAGGATGTAAATTGTTATCAGTTGTCTTTTTAATCACTAAATATTAAAAACAAAGTCAAATGACACACATGTTGGAAAATAATGCTATTTTTAATAAGCTGAGCAAAAGTATATAAATAAATACATAACATCCTATAAAAATAGCACACGGTTAATTCTAAAACATTTATGGCCCCACGTAAAGATCATCCCTTTTTGACCCAATCAACTAGATGTTTTAAAAAAAAGGCTAACTTCTCTGTGAATATACATCCATGCTTGCTCAATTTCTTGTACTTTTAAGTCTCGCCCAATTGAGTACAGCTTGAACATCTGCGTTATCTCATAGTATCCACTATAATCCAAAAAAAACCTCATTGGAGCTTTGCTTGAATGTGCAGAATCCAACATTCTCTACAACCTGAGTCTCTCTCTCAGGGAGTTAATAATAGGAGGTAACAACAGCCTTAAAATACAACCTGGCCTCACCCACAGCCTGGTTTCAGTGTATAGGCTGAGCAAGAGTCCACTGGACTAAAATCTTTTCATTCCAAAATTCACCTTCAGATTGCTACCTAAATAAAGGAAAGCATCAAAGTGAATATAGAGGGCTAGAGCCTTAACCTATGAGCTTTGTTTCAACAGTACTTTTAGAATCCTAGAATACGAGATTTTGGAGCTAGAAGAGGCCTTTGAGATCCAGGCCAACACCTTCACTTTACAAAGGACAAGGAAACCCGCACTTTACAAAGGGTAAGGTGATTGCCCAGGACCATAAATCCAACATTTCCTGTCTCTATATTCTCTCCCCACCCAGTTCATTCTGCTTTTTCTTAGCTCTAAAGCATTCTGTATGCCTGTTTTTATTGTGGATCTCTTGCATGTACTTTTGTACAGTGGTACAGCAAATCTGGTGTGAGCTTGTAGGAAGCTACATTGGAGATAAGTTCCTATGTTACAAGGTTGTAAGTGCTTAAGAATCCTAACGTCTTTGGATTAATACCAAAATTAAGGTTATAGGGTCATTAGAGCTCAAAAGGACCTCATCTGGCCAAACTCGTTTTAGAGAGGAGGAAACTGAGACCCAGAAAGGTCAGTCACTTGCCCAAGACTATGTAGACAATAAGCAGGCTTTGAACCCAGGCCCTCTAACTCCTGAACCCCAGTGCACTTTCCACCATGCCACACATTGTTTTTGACATGGTCAAGTTCCAGCAACATGCTACTTAATTTATTGATTTCTGACACTTTATACTTTCCCACTATGTAGACAACTACCCATAGAAAAGCATAAAGAAGTGTTTCTTTGGCTTTGTTTTGTTTTACCGTACTTAACAAAAGACAATACAGTGGACCTCAAAGCAATAAACTTACTTGTGTTATCTTTCAGGTTTTAATATTTGAAAAAATTTTTTTCATCAAAATAATATTTTTGATATCTATTAGTTCTAATTCCCATTACAGTTCTTAGAATTCAGTAGGTGCTCAATAAATGTTTGTTTTGCTGAAAGGAAATGGCAAATCGATCCAGTGTCTTTGCCAAGAAAACCCCAAATGGGTTCATGAAGAGTCGGACGCAACTGAACAACAATATCATCACTGAAAGGAAAAGAGCTTTGTTCCCCAAAGTAGCATATTCCCAGATAATAGGTAGTAGATCAACTGCCTACAAAACATGTTGCCTGTCATTTTTCCAAGCTTGGCAAATTACAACTAGAAAGAAAAGCACATTTGACCCTTGGAGAAGTTTGTGTCGTAACAATGAAATCACTATAGGCATCCAAAGTTTTAAGGCAACATTATGTAGCAGATAGAGTATAGTCCAGAAGCCCTAAATTCAAATTCTGCCTCAGACAAATGACTGACTGCATGAATCTGGGCAAGTCAAAGAACTCGGAGCCTCAGTTTTCTCATCTGAAAAATGGGGAGATTAGTAGCACCTGCTTCACGGGAGTGTTGCGAGGATGAAATGAGAGAATGTGTTGAGCGCTTTGCAAAACTTCAAGGGCTGGATAAAAGTGAACTATTTTTATTATTATCAAGTGCACGTTTCCACCAAAATGATGATTTGAGTGTGCGAACTCCAGGAGATAGTAGTATCTGAACAGGACAGCCATTTCCGTGGCTTGGCCAACGTGTCACACTCTCAAAAAACACACCCAGTCATCTGTTATTTGTCCTTGGAGTTAGCTTTCCTCCTAAGTCCACCAGCATTTACAACATTGTGGAGCAGCCTGCCTCTGGGGGAGAACGGGCATCACTTGCCAGAAAGGGGCTGCTTATAAAAGAAGGAGTGAGACCTCATGGTGCCACCATCCTGTTCCGACTGCTTTCTTATTTGTGACTGAAAAACAAAACCAGAAACAAGAAGGCACATGCACATTTACAAACTTTGTTTTTCCTCCCATAACTCCAGTTATAACATTAACATACATAGCATAGTTTGGAGGTCTCCCAAATGTGAAATAATAGATGATAAATACTAAAGACACTTGGGCAATTATAGGTTTATATCTGTGCATACACACCAATCCTATTTATCTAGTTACTTATATATCCAGGGAAATGTTCTGAAGCTGTTCCAGTAAGCCGCATTCCCCACCTCCTACCCTACACACACACACGAGCTCATATACCTTTCCAGACATACCCCCTGCTACTCCTATGTAATCTATACTTGGCTATCTCCGTTTCTCCCAAACATGGCCTGGAATTCATCTTCAGGAAAAGCATTCCCAATGACAAGGTACTTGATTGCTCAATTTCCAATATATTGGAGAAACATAAGCATGAATGCTGCAGGCATTTAGGTCATTGATTGAAGAAAAAAAATTTCTGTGTGTAGTGAAGAGTATTCAATAAGGCTTTCAGGTTCTTGAGAGTAATGTCCTTTTGCAGGTATAAGGAATTCTTGATAAGGATGATAGATATTTAAACTAAATACTAGCAGATAATCCATTAAAATGTATACACACATATACATGTATACACACACCGTGTGTGTGTGTGTGTGTGTGTGTGTGTGTGTGTGTGTAGTATGTCTCCAGGAACTAGAACTAGGACTTGATTAACAACTTGGGAAAAAAAAAAGCAAACAAAACAAAATATAAACACAAAGACTTGCAAAATTTTCTATTATAAATCTATATTGTAAATATTATAAATCTATTATAAATCACTCTACCTTTTGGGAAATATCTACAAAGTACAGGATATGAAGTTAGCTTTTTTTCCTCAACTAGCACAATTAGTTGCTAGCTATGGATAACTGGTCATTTTTCAGGCTGCCTCTACAAGTATCTTTACCTAGTATTAGAAATTTGCATCCTTATGTGGAGAAATGTGCCAAACTCGAGTCATTGGATTCCCCAATCCTCACGGTTCTCCACCTGCAGCCCAGGATTGACTACCTCTGTAAATCAGGCTGGTCTGGTCAAGAGACAGCAGATCGGCATTAATCCAGCCTTCCCTCAGAAAACTGATATAAATTATAAAGTTGTTCCATAAACCTACCTATATTGCAAGGGGGAGTGTCCTTACCCCAGAGTTCCCTGAAATGAATTAAATCACATACCCAATTCTTTATCCCCTACCACACAGGCCATACTGCAAGTGATCAATTTCCTTCTAAGTTAGTTTGGAAAAAAATGCAGGTAGGGTTTGAAAGAAATAAGACATTTTAAAAGAGCTTAGCATAATAGTGGGTCTTGATAAATTACCATTTTCCATCGTAGTATCTTAATCCACTCATCCGCTTCTACTCCTGTTTTTGCACATAAATAAAAAGTCCTATATGGAAATACTAAGCTGTGGGGGAAGGAAAAAAGGAACAATTTAGATAGAACAGAGCATCTTTCCTCCCCTGTCCTCCCATCTCCTACCCCCATTTTTCTTGGAGGAAAAGAACTTGGTAAAAGGTTCAATTAAGGTTTTGAAAGGACTGGGATCTAGGAAGCAATTCTTTGAGCATACTAGGTAGGAGGCAGGCCTACCAAAATTCCTGTAATTATGACAGGTCATGTTCTTGTCTAATAAGAATTCAAAGATGAGAAAGATAAAGTCTAGGCTGCTTCCAAAAACCTTCCAATTAATGCTCTCACAAGTCTTTCCATGGAATGGGCGTAAGACCGTAACATCCTTTTCACCTATCTCATCTATCAGAGGATTTCTAGTCCAAACTGTTATTTGATTTGAAGAGTAAACCAAAACAGAGGAAGACATTGCCTGTGTTGCCAAGGCTATCAAGGTCAGTGTTTCCCCATAGAAACCTGTAGACTCTTTTTGGGTTCATCTGGTGTGATAGAGGATTGTCCTTCATATATGAAGGCAGCCAATCCCCTCTCAACATTCTTCCAGCTCAGTGAGAAAATCAACCAGCTCACTTGATCTATTTAAAGAACAGACAGTTCATTTGTCTATCTCCTTGGTTACAAAGTCAAAGTAATTTGATTTATAAACCTGGCTCTGGCCTTTATCTCCTCCCTTGCTACTGTCTCAGTAACTCTTGGAAACACCAAGGAAGCAATCAACAAACATTAAATGCCTACTATTTGCAAAGCCCATGGGAATGCAAAGATAAAAATGAAAGTTTACATTCCTCTGGGAGAGGGATGACATCCACATTTAAATAAATGTCAAATATATAGAAAATTAATACAAAGTAATTGCAGGGTGGAGTAGTATCTGTGGAGAGTCAGAAAAGACTTCATGGTGGAACTAAACTTTGAAGACAGCTGAGGATTCTAAAGGGTGGAGGTGAGGAAGTTGTATCGCAGGCCTAGAGAGATAGCATTGGAAGACATGGAGATGGGATTGCTGTGTACCAGAAAGAGCAAGATCGATTTTTAAAAATTTTTTTTTTTAAGGCAATTGGGGTTAAGTTACTTGCCCAGGGTCACACAGCTAGTAAGTGTCAAGTGTTTGGTCTAAGGCCAGATTTGAACTCAGGTACTCCTGACTTCAGGGCCAGTGCTCTATCCACTGTGCCACCTAGCTGCCCCAAGCAAGATCAATTTCACTGCATGGTTGAATGAATGTGTAAAAAGCCTGGAAAAGCAGGCTGGAGCCTGAATGGGAAGGACTTTGGATGACCACCAGAGGAGGTTAAGTGTGTCTCAGAGGCAATGGGATGCCAAGAGGGTTTGTTCATTGTGTTAGGAGGGGAAATGTTAGGTGTGCAGTTAAAATGAGAAAATCAGAATACCCTTCCTGCATATTTTCATAGTGTCTCCTGGTCTTCTAAACATCACAGATTGGGGCTCTTCAAATAGCCATTAGTCCTTTCAACATATTGAGACGATGATGCATAGTCTGTGGTGTTTTATTCTTTTGCAAGAAAGAAGGATGAGTAAGAATTTTCTTTTTGTATCACAACTCACCAGAAACAGTTGACTTTTTCCTGTGTGTAATCAAACTGCACAGCCGAGCATTCTGTTAGATCTAGTGTCCGAATTGGCTCTGGTGTCTGGAAAATAAGATAGAGTATCATGTTTGAATGTGAAGACTCCTGGAGCGTGGTCATTACTCATATTCCCCAGTAAGCCTTTCCCAAGATGACTATGACAGCCTTTACTTCCACCAAGGAGCACTGAAATAAGAAAGTACATTTTATTTGCAGGAATCACATATGAAAGGTTTTTAGAGGCTCAAGACCCTGAGCATCAAATAGAGATGGATTTGGATTTTCCTCTTTAATTTCATATGAAAGGATTTTTACATATCAGAGACAGTTACATTTTCCTCCCAGCTTTTGACTAGGTACCATGTGTCTAATGGAAGGAGAGTGGAAATCAGGGGACCTGCTTTCTAGGGTTCTACCTGCTAACTGCATAACTTGGAGTGTCTGAATGTCTTTGGGTCTCAATTTTCTCATCCAATCCAACCTGATCCCACCCAAGTCTGAGAATCCATTTGGGTCTCAATTTCCTCATCCAATCCAATCCAACCCAAGTCTCTGAATCCATTTGGGTCTCAATTTTCTCATCCAACCCAACCCAGGCCCAAGTCTATGAACTCATGTGGGCTTCCTTCCATTTCCTCATCTAACTGAACCCAAACCAAGCCAACCCAAGTCTGTGAACCCAGGTACTGGGCATACAAAAACAAAACGAAGAAAAACAGTCCTTGACCTGAAGGAACTTCTAAATATGTGGGAGCGATAGTAATACAACATGTAATCAGATTATCATATACATGATAATTTGAAGAGGGAGACAACAAGACAATTAGGGATATCAGAAAAGGTTTGCTGCAGGAAATGGCTTATCAGTAAAATGAGCAGGATGGGCTCTGGGTTCTCTTCCAGCTATAATGTTCTAGGATTCTACCTCCTGGGGGAAGAAGGGAGAAATGAAGTAGCTATAGGTGTATGAGCTCGACCAATGATAACTCAGTGCTTTACATTTGTTCAATGCCTCACAACCTAGCCCCTTACAGTTTTCATCTACGTTGCTTCTCATTTGCTCTTCCTAGCAATCCTATGAAGTAGGTACGGAAGCTGTGGTTATCCTCAAGCTGTAGATGAAGAAATGGGAGCTTAGACTTCATAAGATCTGGGCCGGAAGGGATCTCAGAGGCCATCTAACCCAACTCCTTCATTTTACAGATGAAGAAACTGAGGCCCAGAGATGTGAAGCTTCTCACCCAAGAAAAAACAAGTTAGTGGCAGGGCTGGAGAGTACACTCTTTGGACACTGTCAGGAAAGAGCTTCATAAATGCTAGTTGTTGACTTGGATTTGAGGTCAGATTTTCAACCCCTGGCTCTTCCGTTTCCTTCGTGGCCTTAGGCAAGTCACTTAACCCTGTTTGCCTCAGTTTCCTCATCTGTAAAATGAGCTGGAGAAGGAAATGGTAAACCACTCCAGTATCTTTGCCAAGAAAACACCAAATGGGGTCACAAGGAGTCAGTCACGACTGAAGGTGACTGAGCAGTAACAAAGGGGGGAGGAGAAGAGAACAAACATTTATTAAGTACCTACTATGTTTCGGGCACTAAGTACTTAACACATATTATCTCACCCTGTCATATTGTGTTACCTGTAAGATGAGGGATTTGGATTTGATGTCAGATTAAACTAAGATGTCCTCTGTTTATAATTCCCACGATGCTTCATTCTGTGTAATCCCTAGATAATGGGCTAAAAACATAACGTTTTTGTTGACCAGTTCTTCTCAGTAGAATCAGACCACCAATTATGCCCTGGGCATTTCAGGTAGAATAATAAGAATTTAAAAGATGTAAGGGATTTCAAAGATCCTATTTTCCTCTGGAGTATTTTTTTTTTCAAGTGATACTACATTGCAGTCTGCTACTCACCATTTGGTCTTTGAAGTATTTCAATTCATTCCTATGCAAAGTGAACCACCTGGTTTTCCAAGTCTAGGGCGAGTGCGGAGGAAGGAGGACAAAGAAAGAAAATATGTAGGTTTTGAATAAAAAGAAAAATAATATTTGATCTAAAGTATTTTCTTTGTTAAAAAAAACTAGCATAGGACTAAAGGGTATTTTTGTAAGAATCACTTCAGAGAAAAGTGATTGAGAGTGTCTTCAGATGGGAAATAGCATATAGCACTGAGGGTCCTCTCCATGTGTAGACTGGATTTTCACAGACAAGGTCACCCCAGGTTCAAGGAACTCAAAACCATAACTCAAGCCCCACTAATGTACTATCTTTTAGGAGGACACAGTAAAAGTAAATTAAAGGCATGTAATGAAATAGCATAGTAAAGAAAAAAAGAACCAACAAAATATTTCCTCTCAAAACCCTGAGTCTATTTCCCACAATAAACACATCATCAGTGGGGAGAGTAGACACTACGTAATGAATATTTTTCTGCCTTAGTAATCCATGGTAGAAACTACTAAGATTGTGATCTGTTATTCATGGATAGAAAACCCACACAGCTGAATCACTGATTCTCTCAGCATGTACTTAACAACCAATCATACAGTAAATCTGTAATGGTCGACATGCCCCCAAAAAAGTCTATATGCAAATTTATAGACAGCTTGCTCAGATCAGATGCTGAAAGGTGATTCGGTGTTGAATAAACATTGAAATTATTTTTCAAAATTAAATTGTTGAATTTAAAAACATGAATTAAAAAAACAAGCTCATAAAATGCTATTGTCAACATTTTAAAATATATCATTTCCTTGACTCCCGAAGTAGCTCAAGTGTTGGAGGCATTTTATGTTGTATTAAGTAGGAAATGGTAATGAAATATTGCATAAAAATGAGAGGCATTATTCCCACCCACCTCTTTTCTAAGAAGATCACAGGAAGATGAAATTGTGGGAAGTGGGGCAGAATCTAGGCCTAGTTCTGCCTTTGACTTTGTACTATCTCTTTATTCTGTAAGATGTTTGTGGCATAGATATGGCCCCATGGAAGAACAGTCTTTTCAATTTCACACAGAACAATTCCTAGTAATTCACGTCCCTCACCTTAAAATTGGACAAAATGAGCTAATTACTTGTCCACAAACATTTTGCTGGGACCTCAAGGTGAAACATCGAAAAGGACAAGCCTGTAAAATGGAGACAGTCAAATATCCTAGTCCAATATTATATTAATTTTGTTTTCTGGTATTTCGTAGACAAGTTCTTATGGCCAAATAAGCCTACTAAATTTTTAGGAACTGGAATTTTAAAGGAACTGAATTTGTACCAACTAAACTTTTATAATAAGGTCAAAAATTAGGCAGAGGGAGCTTTCTAGAAATTTTTCTAGAATAAATTTGCTACCTTCCCTCTCAGTGAGCCTGTTAGGAAGCACTTAGGTTGTAAATCATAAACTTCTTTGTAGGTATTTGCCTTGGAACTTTGAAGTCACTTTCCTAGTTTTGAATAATTAGCTATCACAATGCACTAGTGAGGTAGCTCCATTAATAAATCAATTAATGAATTAATTTTAGGCCAGACCTGTGATTCCACTGGTATAGGGAACTCCCAGTTGAGAAACTCTCTTTAGCAATGCCATTCACCACGTGCTCTGAAACATTAAGTGACTTGTACAAGTATATACATATGTGTTTAGATATATATTCTATAGTTATAGATAATATTATATTATACATTATATGTTATATAATGTACATGTTATACATTATATTATACTTACACACATGCATAAATATATCATAATATACAATATTATATTCTATATTGTGTAACATATGCATAATATAATATCTAATGAGATATTATTTTATATTCAAGCATATATGTAAGCATAATTTAAGACCCAGAAAAGAATAATCATTCTTTTCTTTTTTTTTGGCGAAGCAATCAGGGTTAACTGACTTGCCTAGGGTCACACAGCTAGTAAGTGTTAAGTGTCTGAGGCCGAATTTGAACTCGGGTCCTCCTGACTCCGAGGCCAGAGCTCTACCCACTGTGCCACCTAGCTGCCCCAGGAATAATAATTCTTTCCATTAAAAATGAAAGCATAATGGTCCCTTGAATACATCTAAGAACAGAGTCACTAATGTCAAATTTAGCAGTCCAGTTAGACTCTAGGCCATCTGCTTACTTCCCGTCTCTTTAGGCATCACTTACAAAACCAGCTCTTACCTTCACTAGTCCCCCTTGTTTCGTTAGGTATCCTTCTTTGGTGCCCAGCTAGGAAAGAAGCAAGAAGTTAGTGAAACTAGGGGCTCCATACTGCATGACATCTGCCCTTACATCTCTTTTCTATTCTAGAGGAATACTGGATTTGTCTTTAGGTCTTTAAAACTCCTCTCTTCTCAAGCCTCAGCGCCTCAGAAGTTATCTGTACGTCATGACATGCCACGATCACTTTGGATTACAATCTCTTGATCATGAAATGTGCCTCACACACATTTTGAACCTTGCCTTTTCCTTCAGGGGGATTCTCACACTGAGTTGCGTATCACCTTTTGGGCACTCCACATTTTTTCAGAGATTAAAAATGCTTTAGCAATCACATCCACCAGCTGCTTCAATGTTCCTGACAGTAAGACCAGAATTCTGGAGTGAAGAAGAGAGAGTGGGGGTTGCCAGTCGGACAGAAGATCAGGCAACCTGGTGAGCACTAATGCCTGCTTCACAACAAACAGGAATTTAATGGACACTCACTGATGTGGCCAGAAGTGTAATGAGTCCATTTAGGCAGAACAATGATTCGAGGTTTTGTTTTTTCCCCCTCCCATATGTACAAGTATCTTGTTTGGTTATTTCATATCTCAATAAAGCAGGAGAATAAGAGTGAGTAATATCATGTGCTTTTATGTCTATCACATGCAGCAGACCCACAGGCCATATATTTTTACCACGTATCTATCATTCTACCAATTCCACCATAAAGATGGCGTCCTGCTCAAATTTAAAAGTCTTTCATAAAAAGTTGAAAGAATGCCTGTAAGCAGTCTACATTTGTTCAGTAGTTTCTGTAGCTCAGATGAACTGGATTAAGGGGTCAGACTGGATCCTTGGGGGTTACATCTCTCACTTACTATGGCTACCACAGTTGTGAGTTAGAATATTATCCATGTGTAAAAGAATACTTACCAACCAAGTTTGCTTTCTTTAGAACATGACTCCCTTGAGGGCAAGGATTGTCTTTTGGCTTTATTCTTTCTCTATCACTTAGCACAAAGCCTAGCACATAGTAGGTAGTTAATAAATGCTAGTTGTCTGACTGACTGATCAGAACCTGTGATCCCATTAGGGTAGGGAAACCTTCTCTATCAAAGCAGGTTGGCATCTGCTTTGCAACTTAGTATCTTAGAGGCATCCCTGGGGCACTGAGAACTCAAATGACTTGTCCAGGGTCACATAATCAATCTGTATTAGAGGCAGGTCTTCCTGATTCGACACTAGTCTTCTATCCACTGTGTCTTACATCCTTTCAGTTCAAGAAACCCAGAAACTTGTCCCAAAATATGCTTTTAGGTTGAGTGTTCTCTCTCTCTGTCTCTCTCAATCTCTCTCTCTCTTTCTCTCTCCCTCTTTCTCTTTCTCTTCCTGTCTCTCTTCTCTCTCTCTCTGTCTCTCTGTCCCTGCCTCCATCTGCCTCTCTGTCTGTCTCTGTCTCTGTCTCTCTCCCTCTCCTCCTTCCTTCCTCCGTCCCCCTTCCCCCCTCTCAAAGCTGGCTTCTGATCAGCATGATAGTTACTTACTGAAGGAGCTGTGGGCACCAGGTCACTCTCTGTCCTTCCCGTCTGCATTGCTGTGTGAACCCTGACCGATTCGTAGATGGATGGCTCTTCCACTTGGCATGGATAGGGATGTTTCAGAACAATCAAAGTGCCTGAATTGGAGGGAAAACACAGGTTCATACAACTTTGCCAGAAGGACAGGTTCAAGGGCTAACCAGAGGTCTGTGCTTGGGCTTTCTTTAGGACTTTGCTAAAACTGCATAAAGAGAAAACCAACATGTATTTCAGAAGTATTTATCACAGTATTCTGACTTCATTTCAGTTTTATAGTAAGAACTTTAATATATTATGTATTAATCTCTGATTATTTAAATCACATATCAATGCCCCCTTTCTTTAAGTCCCATCCCAACTCTTAACTAATTACATTTCAAGTGAACGTGAAATGAGTATGGACATTACATATATCCAATTTTTCTCTTTTACTTGCAGGAAAAGTCCATCTTTATAGGCAACTAGATGGTGCAGTAGCTAGAAGCTGGAGGTCAAATCCTTCACCAGACACTTGCTAGCTGTGTGACCTGGGAAAGTTACTTAATCTCTGCCTCATTTTTCTCTTCTGTAAAATAGGAATAATAATAGCTCCTGCCTCCCAGAATGGTTTAAGGATAAAATGAGATATATAAAAATTGATATAAATAAAGAATAGGGAGTGTTGTCCCAAAAGATCAAAGGATATGGCAGTACTCAAACGAAGGCAAGTTAACAACAATATGAAAAAAATGCGCCGGATTATTAATGATAAAAGAAATGAAAATTAAAATAACTCAGAGGTTTTGGCTTATACCCATCTGATTGACAAAGATCACAGAAAAAGAAAATGACAAGTGTTGGAGGTCCTGTGGAAAAACAGGCACATTAATTGATGTGTTGAATTAATTAATAATTAATTAATGTGTTGAAACTATGAATTGGTCCTACCTTTCCAGAGAGCAATTTGGAACTATGCGTCCAAAGCCACTAAACAGTGCATAGCCTTTGACCCAGTGATACCACTACTAGGCCTATACTCCCAAAAAGTTCAAAGAAAAAGATAAAACACCCCAAAAAAATTGTAGCACTTTTCTTATTGTATTAAAGACCTAGAAACTAAAGGAATGCCCATTAGGTGAGGAATGGCTGAACAAATTATGGCATAAGATGGAATATTACTGAGCCATCAGAAACAATGGAAGGGATGGTTTTAGAGAAACTTGGGAAGACTTATTTAAAGTGATGCAGAGTGAAGTGAGCAGAACCAGGAGAATAGTGTAAAGAATGACTACAATATTGTATTGAACATTGTAAAGCAATGTCAAAAGACTTAAGAATCTTTTTTTTTTTTTTAGTGAGGCAATTGGGGTTAAATGACTTGCCCAGAGTCAGACAGTTAGGAAGTATTATGCATCTGAGGCCAGATTTGAACTCAGGTCCTCCTGACTCTAGGGCCAGTGCACTATCCTCTGTGCTACCTAGCTGCCCCTAAGACTTAAGAATCTTGATCAAAGCAGTGACCCACCATGACTTCAAAAAACTGAGGAGGAAACATGCCTCTACAAAACATATTGGAGGCTACCTGTTTTCTTTGGGCTACACATTAAATTATTAGGATGATCTTTTAGTTTAAAGTTCTTGGTCACTCGTGGATGAGAAATCCCAGTTCTGAAACAATACCTTAAACGGTTAGGCCTTTGTAAGAAAGAGAAAGGACCTACTTCTCTTCCATAACCCTGAGTTCAGGGAGGAACTGTATTCTCGCTTTTGATAGAATACCTCCCTATTGGTTTAGCATAATGATCTGACTAAGGAAAGAAAGAAGTCTTTGCTTACTTCAGTTAATGGAATTATCTCTTGACTTTACCTAACATCCTTGAAGGGAGAAACTGAAAAGGGATTGAATGGTTTTAGGAATATGATGCTTCATGGGTGTGCCAAAAGTGATCTGACTTGTTCTGTTTGATAAAGCAAACTGTTAGCTAAACTTTGAAAATCTGCTTAATCTTAATCTTGACTGTGAAATTTTGTCTGTTTTCTGCGAATGCTGTGAATTTTAACTCCAGAATGGGCTTGTGTTAGATTCTCAGTGGCATAGGTTAACTCTACCCTTTTTTGGACCTCTTCCCTTCTGAGCAGAAATAGAATTAGTTTAATTGAAATTAATAAATATTGTTTCCAGCAAGCTTATACCTATAATACAGAGTATAGAATTTTCTTCTATACTTTTCAACCTCTGAGCAGAGGTGAGATGAACACGTCAATAAACACGGTCAATAAATATTTATTAAGTGCCTACTATGTACCAGGCACTGTGCTAAGCATTGGATATATAAAGAAAAGCAAAAGACAGTTGCTGTCCTCAAGGAATTCACAATCTGATGGGGGAAGGTGACATATAAAAAAGTAAAAAGAGGGTTGAGTGGGGTTGGAGAGAGGGTACCAGGTGCAATAGCATGATGAAAAAATGGGAGTGGGAAATGATGAGGTGACTACCTTGAGCACCCTCCTTAAAGAGTAGAGACCTGGGAGGATCTCTGATATCCATCCTCCACCCTCTCCAATTAGAAGGAGGGAGAAGATGCAGGGGTAGGGAACACTAAGGAGGTCTGAGTTTCAGATGTTATCTTATAAGATGTTGAGTTTCTGGAGATTATGAAGTCTAGGAGAATAGCATATTGGGAAATGATGTGCAATTTTTTTTTTTTGCTTGACTATACCTACTGATTACAATCATGGATTTTTTAGGGGGAGGAGAAATTTATAGGGAAGTGCAAAGGGTGTAGTGATAGTGATAGAAAAAAAGAAAAAAGATCATCAATGAAACATTTGGAAAATTCACAAGAGCAAAGAAGGAAGCTCAGAAGGGGATACAGATGAGTAGGGCTTTGTTGGTAATAATGCATTGTTTAATTTGTACTTTTAAAAAAGTTGTACATAGCAGACATTCCCACTTTCATATTTAATCCTCTTTCTGTTCTTTGAGTATGGAAATGTTCATGTTTGTTAATATTTTTCAAGTTCATAATGTAGAAAATTTAATTTAAAAATTAAATGACAAATTGAGGAAACTGTATTTTATTCTAGTGGCAATGGGAAACAATTGAAGCTTCTTGAGAAGGGGAATGATATATCCAGATGTGCTTTAAGAAGAAGAATTTGGGGGCAGCTAGAAGATAGAGCACTGGCCCTGGAGTCAGAAGGACCTGAGTTCAAATCTTGCCTCAGACACATTATACTAGCTGTGTGACCCTGGGCAAGTCACTTAACCTCAATTGTCTCACCGAAAAAAAAAAAAAAACAAACCAAAAAGGAGAAGATGAATTTGGCTACTGTTTGGAGAGAAGTGATATTGAAGCAAAGAGATCAATTAGCAGGCTATAGCAATAGTAAGGACAAGAGGTGGCAAAGGTCTAAATTAAGACTTGTAGCCATGTGACTATAGAGAAGGAGATAGAAGCAAGAAATATTGTGGAGGTAAAATTAACCAGATTTGGCCACTGATTAAGCTGGGGCTTATAGGAGCTGGGATGACATGAAGAAGAATGAACAGCAAAAGTAACTCCAAGATTGAGTGACTGGTATGGCACCAGTGGCCTTTAAAAAAAAAGGAACAACTATAAAGGTATAAGCCAGGAGTCCCTGGGCCAGATGGAAAAATGTGGCCATGATGGGTGGTACCAGTTGATACTATACTTGATGATCCCTTTATCCTCAAAACATGTTGAAATTTTAGAGGCTTTGTGTAAGTGGGATTACCTCCTATTCAATTATAAAGGACAGGGACAGTGTCTTATTTACCATTGTGACATCTAATGTCTTGTACATAATAGGAGCTGAGTAAGTGTTCGCTGAATGAATGAGTGAATGAATGCCTTCGTGGGATAAACCTGGAAAAGGCTTTTGCTGACCTCCCTGTGTCCATAGCACTGAAGGCCTAGGACCAGGGCAGCCCCAGATGTCTCAGATTCCTCCAGGACTTCAGCTTTGGTCTTCGTCACCCCTGGAGTGAATTCTAAAACTTTAGAATTCCTAAAACATTTGTATTTTAGCTCAATTAAGGAAGTATGAATGAACTCCCTGCTTCAGGAAAGTGGAATATAAACTGAAAGCAAAGTAGTGGTGCCAATCTGCTTCTTCTAGTTTATGTGGCTAGGGTTGGATTTACACTGAGGTGGATAGATGAGGCAAGAAGCCAACTCATTCTACAACTTCTCATTTCTGCGACCCCAGAGGAGAGGTTTTCTTCATCTGACTGTTGAAACCTATGAGAGGGAACACTACTAACTCAGTGAGGTCTCTCATGTTTTGGAAGGAGGAGGGAGAGCCCCAGACAAATGGATAAGGAAACTCCAACATACAAGATAGTCAGACCAAGACAGTTTTAGAGTTTGGCTGCAACCCTCAGATAAGGTGCAAGAGTTGATGGGGGATGGGAGAAGACTATAAGGGGTATCAGGGACCAGGAGCTTAGGAAATATGGCTTCAGATTTTACTTCATTTTCTTCCCTGCTTCTAGCAGCTGGTTTATTCCCCGCTCTGAAGTTAAATTTGGTTTCAGAATTGCTCAGTAGTACATTTTTTAGAGCAGAGTTTCTTAACCGTGTGTGTGTGTGTGTGTGTGTGTGTGTGTGTGTGAGAGAGAGAGAGAGAGACAGACAGACAGACAGACAGAGACAGAAAGGGAGACAGAGACAGTGAGAGACAGACATGGGGAGAGAGAGAGAGAGCCTTTTGGCAGTCTATGGATCACTTTTCAGAATAATGTTGTTGCTACATCTAGGTGTGTTCTAGCACCACTTTGTATTGGCTAGGGAGAGACAATTGCTAAACTTTCAGTGTGAGCATTTACGTTCTAGAAATAAGCAAAGATGACAAAATAATTTATTAAGGTTTTTTTTAATTATCTAGACCTGTGGCAGCTACGTGGTGCAGTGGATAGAGCACTGGCCCTGGAATCAGGAGGACTTGAGTGCAAATCCAGCCTCAGATACTTGACACTTAGTAGATGTGTGACCCTAGGCAAGCCACTTAACCCTGATTGCCTTGCCAAAAAAAAAAAAAAAGAAAAGTCCAGACCTGAGAAATTGATGGAGAAAATGTTAATAATGAAGATTAA